CTCAAATATTTTTTTTTAAAAAAAAAGTAACCGGGTTAGCCAGTGGCATGGTGGTTAAGGCAGCACATGGCAACTGAATAGTTTGAGTCCCAGGTCCTGCAGCTGGAGAGACAGGCTGGGTCGTGCGCATGCGTGCCGAACACCCAAACAGAAGGAGAAATGGAGAAGGGGTTGTGGCGTGACTGTTCCCCATGGGGGGTGCTTTCTCACGCTCCTTTTCTCTCTGTCTTGCTCTGTGTTTCTGGGGGAGCACATGTACTCTCTGGCAAATTAAAAAAGAAATAGGCTGGCAGGTGGCGTTGTGGTTAAGGTGCTGCACTCCCACATAGCTGATTGTGGTTTGAGTCTTAGACCTGGCTGTTTGCTTTCTCACTTTCCCTTTCTATCTCCTCTGTCTCTCTCTGGTGAGACTGAAAAATAATAATAACGAATAAAATTAAACAAATATTTATTTATTTTTCATTTTATTTATTCATTATTATTTTTTTAAATTTAGCTTTATTTATTTTATTTATTTATTTGACCAGAGAAAGAGAGAGAAAGAAAGTGAGAAAGCAAGCCTCCAGTTCTGGGACTTGAACCATGGTCAGGCACGTGGGAGTCTAGCACCCTTAACCACCACACAACCTGCCGGCCCCAGAACTTAGTTCTTTTTAAAAATTATTTATTTAATTTTACTAGTTATCATTATTATTATCTTCATTTGTTATAGGGTTCACGTGCTCATCGAGAGAGAGAAAGTAAGCCATCAGGTTCAGGACTCTAACCGGCCAGCCATGTCCAGTGCCCTAAGCTTCACGCCTGCTGGCCCCAGTGATTTTTATGGCTGAGTATATTCCATTGTACAGAGAGCCACGCAGTGATTATCCACCATGTTGGATGGACAGTGAGGCTGTCTGAGTGTCACGACTAAAGCTCTGTGGACGTCAGCGTGCAAGCTTCAGCCTGCACGTCCCTCTTCAGCTATTCAGGGGCATGCGTAGGAGGGCAGGGGCTGAACTGCCTGGTAGCCCTGCCTCGCCTGTTAAGGACCCACCGGGCAGTAGCAGCTGCAACATTTACATTCCCATTTCCCCCCATTCTCAACACTTGTTTTTTTCTAGTTAAAAAAATTATACTGGGACCAGCAGATAGCATAATGGTTGCGATGCTGGACTCCTATGTAGTCAACAGCAGTTCAAGTCCTGGACCCGGCGGCTTAAAACACGCTGGGTGCCTGTGCATATGTGCCCAAAATATCAAGAGGAGAATGGGGGAGGAGGGACTGTGGTGTGGCCATCCTCTCCTGGGAGTGATTTCTCACTTTCTGTCTGTCTGTCTTTCTGGCAAAACACATATGCCCTATAACAAGCATCTCTCTTTAAAAAAAAATTATACTAAATCTTGTTTCCTTGAGGACTTTGCAAACATAGTTTGTTATTAACATATAACTGTTCATGTTTGTGTGGGTACAATGCGATTTTACAGTTCACACATACAGTGTGTAGTGATGCGTTGAGGATAATTCGGACAATAATCACCTCAACTGTTTGCCATTACTTACGTGGGGACATTGGAAACTCTCCCTTTGAGTCACTTGGAGACACACAGCAAATCATTGCCAATATATTTTATATTTTATAGTACTGTATTTTATAGTACTCAAAATCATCTCTCCGATCTGCAGTCTTCTCTCTGGGATCAGCGGTTCTCTGCTCTCCCCTACCCCATAAACGTGCCCGCTTCTCTTTTATTATGGCTGTTTAAGTTCATTATCATGTTGTCACACAGAAACACCCGAGGTTGGGTGACTTACAGGGGAAAAAGGTTTATTCCACTTACAGTTCTGGTGACTAGAAAGCCCACAGGTGTGGGCCAGCCTCTGGTGCCAGGACACAGCATGGCGACAGAAGCAGAGAGGCAGGCAGGCCCACGCACCCGCTCTCCGGGAGCCAGTTGATCTCCTGAGACGGAGACAGGAACTCCCCCTCCTGTCAACAGTCACGACTCAGTTCGTGCCGTTTTTGTCCCTGTGACCCAAACACCACCTACTAGGCTCCGTGTCGGAAAGGTCCCACCACCTCTCCACACCCTTATATTGGGAGCCAAGCTTCCAGTACGTGAACTTTTGGGGGAAAACATATTCAAATTATAGATCGGCCATTCTGGTGGGTGTGCTGTCGAATCCCATTGTGGTTTTCTCTTACATTCCCCTAACGGCAAATGATTGGACTATCTCTCATGCATGTCCATTTATATATTTATTTTGGAGAAATACCCATTTCATTCCGTCACTTTACAGTATATTTTGAAATCAAGAAATGTGAGTCCGCGGGAGCAGCAGTTAGCGTAATGGCTATGTCGCTGGACTCGCACGTAGTCGACCGCGGTTCGTGTCTTGGACCCGGTGGCTTAAAACTCACGCCGAGCGCATGTGTGCGTGCCCAAGATCCCGAGAGGAGAATGGAGGAGAACGGATTGCGGCGTGACCATCCCCCCTGGGGGGTGATTTCTCGCTTTCTGTCTCTATGTCTCTCTCTGTCTCTCTGGCAAGCGCACGTGCCCTATGGCAAAAAACTCTCCAAAAAAAATAAAAAAGAAGAAACGTGAGTCCTCCTTGTTATACTTTTTCTTTCTTTTTGAAAAAGAATTATTTATTTAACTTTATTTATTGTTATTATTTTTAAGAAGTATTTTATTTATTTATTATTATTATTTTCACATGAATTTTGCTAGAGAAAGAGAGGAAGAATGAGAAAGCAAGCCACCAGGTCTGGGACTCGAACTGTGGTCAACCATGTGGGAATTCCAACACCTTAACCACTGTGCCACCTGCTGGTCCCATTACTACTATTATTTTAATTTGACTAGAAAGAGACAGAGGGAGAGAGAAAAAGAAAGTGAGAAAGCAAGCTGCCAGGTCTAGGACTTGAACCACAGTCAGCCTTGTGGGAGTCCAGCACCTTAATCACCATGCCACCTGCTGCCCCTCCCTTGTTATACTTTTTTGATATTGTTTTGATCTTAGCATCTTTTCAAATTGCATTTCTCTGATGGCTGGTGATGTTGAGCACTTTTTCAAATACTTTGCGGCCATTTGTATGACTTCTTTCGAGAAAGGTCTGTTCAGATTATTTGCCCATTTTCAAATCAGATGACGGGTGCTTTGCTCTTGAGTCATCTGAGTTCCTTGTACATTCTGGATGTCAGTCCCATTCTGTTGGTGTGTCATCGGTCTGTTGATTCTTACCTTTGCTGTGCAGATTTTTACTTTAATCTAGAGTCCCATGGGGACCAGCAGGTGGCGTCGTGGTTAAGGTGCTGGACACTCCACATGGCCAACCACGGTTTGAGTCCCGGACTTAGTGGCTTGCTCTCTCGCTTCCCCTCTGTCTCTGTCTCTGTCTCTCTCTAGTCAAATTGAAATAAATGAATGAATAGATAAAATAAGTAATTGTTGGTACCAGCAGTTGGTGTAATGGCTACATCACTGGACTCTCATGTAGTTGACCGCGGTTCAAGTCCTGGACCTGGTGGCCTCAACTCACGCTGGGTGCGTGTGCGTGCGTGCCCAAGATCCTGAGAGGAGAATGGAGAAAGGATTGCGGCGTGGCCATCCCCCCTGGGGGGTGATTTCTCACTTTCTGTCTCTCTGTCTCTCTCTGTCTTTCTGGTGAGCGCACGCGCCCTACAGTGAAAACCTCTCCAAACAAATAAATAATTATTTAAAAATATACAGCCCATTCCACCACTTTTGCTTTTGCTGCGCGCATTTTGGAGGTCTTATTCGTAAATTCTTTGTCAAGGCAGCCGTGAAGCATTTCCTCTGTGTTTTCTTCTAGTAGTCTCAGTTTCAAGTCTTACATTTTAGTCTTTTTTTTTTTTTGCCAGGCGGGGGGTGTCCTCCCAATGGGGGCCGGGTGACAACACACCGCTCTTTCCCACCACTTCGCGTCAGAACTCTAATGTGTGCACACGTGGCCAGAGTTTTCAAGCCGCTGGGGCTGGATTGGACCGGTCGGGCGGGGATCTGCTTCCTGCGTGCGGTTAGCCACAGCGCGTGGGGCCGCCCTGTGCCCCGTCTGCTGAGCTCACTGTGTACTGTGAGAGACGAGGTCCTCTCTGGCCTGTTTATGTTAGAGGCAAAGCTCTCAGGGGGATTCTTCTGCGGGCTTTCCATATACGGCCTTCATTATGTTGAGGTAGCTCCTGTTCCCATCGGGCTGTCAGAAAAGTCGTGACAGTTTTCGAAGTTCTTCTAGGCAAAAATGCTTCGTCGCCTTTCTGACAGCCCAGCAGTTTGGCGAGTGCCCGTCGGACGGTGGCGTGGTCTGTCAGGGGCTATTTCTGCGACTGAGGACCTTGAGTTCCCGGATGCCCTGCCCTGTTAAAGTGGTTTTCTATATTCATCCATGGTCCAATGTCGGATCCTGCTGCTGACCTCGGGAGCAAATAACCGAGGCCTTCCCTCCGGCCGCCCTGGTTTTCCAAAAAGAAATCGCTGTTAATCTTGTGAGGGGTCCAGTCCCCGACAGCTTCTCCTGCTGTTTACACGATCCCTTGCCTTGATAGCTGCTAGGACACGCCCCGGGGAGGACCTTTGCTTACCTTGCTTGGAGTTTGTTCATCCTGACTGCGAAGAGCAAGCCCGTGCCCTCCTGTTCGGTCTTTCATCACATTTGGGAAGGCCCGGCCTGGACACTGTCACTGCAGGGGGTTACCAATAAACCAGCCCACCCATCGTAGCTCCTTTCCCTGTCCACACTAAGACTACGGAGTCTTTCCCCGCTCAGGCCCGGGCTTCGTCCCCATTGCAAAATAGGGAAACTGCGTCCTAGGAGGGAGCTGTGGCCAGGGGTCCCCAGCAACATGGTCCCTCCTGGGCGGCGTGCTACTGCTGGGCGGGCGGGGTCTCCCAGAGCGCTATCCAGGGACCTGTCACCGCTGCAGCATGCGCCCCGCCCCGCCCTGCGGAGGACAGGCCGAGGTTTCTCCATTCTCTGTTCTACCCCCAGCGGCTCTGCCGCCCCCCTACAGCCTCCGGGAAGCGCAGGTCACCGTCCTGAACAACACGAGGTGTAACTACCTGTACAGCCAGTACTCTTTCCAGAGCCTGTTCTCCGAGTTCTCGTTTTGTGCTGGATCTGAAGATGGCAAAGTAGACACATGCAGTGTGAGTGCACCCCCCTCGGGGAGGCCCTGCTCCCCCACCCCGGGCTGGGAACCAACCCCTCTCACCTGCTCCCCGCCCGCCAGCCCACCTGAGATGATATTTGTGAGAAAATCTCAGTCCTTTGTTTTGTTTTGAGAGGTTTTTGCTGTAGGGCACGTGTGCTTTCTGGAGAGACAGAGCAGAAAGCGAGAAATCACCCCCCAGAGAGGTGGCCGCGCTGCAGTTCTCTCTCCACTCTCCCCTAGGGATTTTGGGCACGCACACACACACGCCCAGCATGACTTTTAAGCCACCAGGTCCGGGACTCAAACCATGGTCAACCACACGGGAGTCCAGTGCTTTAACCACTATGCCATCCACGGGCCCCAGTCCCAGTTCTTATTTATTCTCACTAAAGGCCGTGCTCCTCCTTTTCCATAAATTGTGTCTCCTCTGTCATCACGCTGACCCTGGGTAGATCGGCCCGCACTTTGCAGCTTTAGAAACAGGCTCTGCTTGTGCCGGGGCAGGGCAGCTCCCCGCCCTCCTGCTCTCCTGCTGCCCACTGGCCCCACCCGCCCCAGGCCGGACTCCCCCGCTGCTCCACAGGGTGACTCCGGCGGGCCCTTGGTCTGCGACCAGGACGGACTGTGGTACCAGGTTGGAATCGTGAGCTGGGGAGACGGCTGTGGCCGGCCCAACCGGCCCGGCGTCTACACCAACGTCAGCTTCTTCTTCCACTGGATCCAGATGCAGATGTCTCGCAGTGCGCTGGGGCCGGAGCCCTCCCGGCCGCTGCTCCTGGCTCTGCTCTGGGCTCACCGACTGCTGAGGACCGCCTGAGTCCGGCAGAGCCAGTGAGGCCGCACACTGCCCTGGGTGTGCCCTCCAGGTCGGGGTGGGCACTGCCTGCTGGCTCAGGCCCCGGTCTCTCTGTCCCTCTTTAATAAACGGTACGTGTCGGAGTCGCTGCCTTGGAGAACTTCCTTGGGTCCAGGTGGCCTCCTGGACCGCTCCTGCCGCTCACGGATGCTCATTTCAAGACCTCACCCTAACTCCTGAATCTTTGTCCAGATTGTCACCACAGCAGAATCCTGTCTGGTCCTTCAGTCAGAAAGATGAGCTACGGGAGGGCGGGGGTGGCTGCAGGGAGGAAGGTGGTTAGGATCTGGCCTGGGGGGCAGGCAGGTGTCCAGCTGCCAGGATGTCCCTCGCCCCACAGGACCACCCCGATTGCATGCGGCACTGCCAGCTCTGCCACAGCTGGGGCAGGAGTGTCACCGCCCAGGGCCACATCACCCTCTGCCCTCTGGGTGCCACGTGTGGGTTGGGGGAGGCCAGCAGGCCGCAGAGAGGAAGAGGGAGATGTGGGGCGGGGGCCTGGACGGCAGGTGGGGGTGGACGTGGGGTGAGAGCGGGCCTGATGTGGCTGGTTCCCAAGTGATGAAGGGGCTCCAGGGGTCCTTTCTAGGCCTGAGGGCCTGGAGACATCACACGGATAGAGTCAAGATGGAAGGTGGCCAGGGACCAGCAGTTAGCGTAATGGCTATGTCTCTGGATTCCCATGTAGTCGACCGCGGTTCATGTCCTGGACCTGGTGGCTTAAAAAACTCACACCGGGCGCGTGTACGTGGGTGCCCAAGATCCTGAGAGGAGAATGGAGGAGAAGGGATTGCGGCGTCGCCATCCCCCCCCAC